GAGTAGATCTCGGATAAGAGATAGGCCTCACATGCTAATTAAGGAGAGATAGTTAAATTTTTAAATAATCATAAATAAGTCTCACGATACCATTTAATTTCACTAAGACTCGTGTACGAATACTTATGAATGGGATATTATCGACATGCAATTAGATGATGCTTACTTTATTCCCTGAGTTGGATTACGCATTTTAAGCGTTGAATAATTGCAATGTGCGCCGCAGCCGTTCCAGTTGCCTGCAACAGGTTTGGGATCAAGGGTTACGACAACACCAAAATCTTCAGCCACACGATAGAGAATAAAACGAGCCATCCAGAGGTGATCACCGGCCTCAATTCCACAGCAAGGTCCGATCTGGAACTCCCACTGAGGTGTAGTATAGAAGATGTGAAAAAAAGAGTGCGAAAGGATAACAGGGGTTCGTCAAAGAAAAGACCAAAGCTGATGCTTTTCAATAGATTTGTGACAACTTTATATTGTAATTTAAGATCGAGTTATTCTTTCAAATAGGGAAGTCTATTAAATGCTGAAGACAAAAATACAACCTCAAACACTATTTTTGCCGTTAAGCATTTCGAGTGAAAGTGTTTAGTGAAGAGATTCGAAGATTGATCTCAACATAAAACGACGGCTGATTCGCGTTGTACTCCAGTCTTAATTCGACGTTTAAGTTGACGCAAATCATAAGACATCCTCCATCGTTTCGGGTGAAAAAGGACCGAGCTTTCGTTCATCGTATGATGGAAATCATCAGAATAGGAACCGATTCCTGTAAAGATCTTACATTAACACCAGGTCAGGAAGACTGTCCAGGTCTATCTTACCCCTTATATGTACACTTAGAACTAAAAACGAAAATTTTTAGGTAGAGGAAATTCATAAAAACCCATTACTTCTTCGTATCTACAAAGACAGCAGTTTAAAGCGACCCTAAAATGAGTAATTCCGTCCTATATGTTGTGGGCTTGTTAGGATCAAATAAACCTCTGTTAAAACCTCACTAACTCAGAAGATTATTGGATTCAACAAGGTACAAAGAGCAAATGAATAATAATAAACGCAGGCAAAAAGTTCAAGATAGTGTGGTTTCAATTTTCTTTGCAGTCTTCTTTCGCTATATAAAATTTATTCGACCTCATTTTAGCAAATTGATCGTGTTGTCAGGGTGGCCTAGATAAGCGTGCCCAGTCTGACACCCTATGCTATAGTAGTTGCGATAATTTCCTGCGTCTGACCATGGACTTTCTACATTCCCAGACTTTCCGCCAGTATCATAGTCAGAATCGTCCGGCAATCATAGCACCAAGCTACAATTCATCAGGTGAATTCGATCCTCTCACCAACTTTCTACCTGATAAATGTGATATCGCCTTTCCTGTTATGGTACAGCTAGCCACCTCTTATTCTCGTATCTAGCTACCTAGTTCTCAAAGCTATATTACATCCGTCGCTGGCTTACTTAACACCCCCTCTCGAGTTTCCAGAATC